TTTTTTTAATCTAACCACCTTCAAACTAGTTCACATTGCTTAGGTTTGGTTCACCAAGATATTTTCTTGGGAACTACAAAGATATATAGGCTATTGATGGTACTTGTTCTTCTGGAATGAAAACGATAGGTAAACAGACTGTGGTTTTACTTATGTGCTTCATTTTCACTCTCAGGTGGAAAGCAATAGATGGGCTACAAAGTTTATGTCTGAAATTGACCCAAGGGCTCTACCTCGCCAATTTGATGCTTCTTTTACCTTCGAAGACTTGCCTTTCTTTCTACAGCAAAGCATTCTGCATTAGTCCTAAGACTGAAGCAAAACCCTCAGACAGAGAAACCCAGAGCAAGGACCAGAGCTGAACGGCACCCGGACCATGAGGTCAGCAAACTGCCCTGGGGCCCCATGTAGTGAGCAGCATTGAGCTGCCAACCTTGTGAGGCTCAGATAAATATTTGAGGGGAGAGAAGGAAAAAAAAAAGAAACAAAAAAAATTTTGTACTCTCAACCCTAACCTCACATTAATCCATTTTCACCTTTGAAGAGGAGAAAAGGAAATGAAAACAACAAAAAACTGAAGAGAAAAAGGAACGATAAGGAGTAGAAGGGCAATATGGCACATTGGTTAAAAGTTCTGGAGTTTGACTAACTTGGGTTTGAATCCTAGCTCTACAGCTTAAGAAATTTGTGTTAGATCTTGGCCAGTCATGAGCAGGTTCTGTGGCCTCGTGGTTAAGGCAGCCAGATCCCACATGGCCAACTGTACAGTTCGAACCCTATCACCAGTGGTTTAAAAAGCATGCTGAGCATGTGTGCATGCCCTAAATCCCCTCAGAAAGGAGAAACGGAGAAGAGACTGTGTATGACCAAGCCCCATCAGGGGGCACTTTCCCCTTCTCCCTCTCTCCTCTGTCTCTTTTCCTCTGGCAAGTACATACGCCCTCCAGTAAAATTTTAAAAATGAAAAAGCTCTTGGCCAATCTTTTTATTTTCTTGTTTGTAAAATGAGGCTTATAATATCCTACTGGGTTGTTGCAAAGGGTAAAAAAATATAAGGAAGTAAAGCACTTAGCATGCCATCTGTCACAGAGAAGGTGATCAATACAAAGTAGCTGAACACAGAGGGAGAAGGACGAGAAGAGGGAGTGGAGAAGAAGGGAGACTTTTGGAGAAAAAAGTCACAAGAATTCAAAGAACAGCTTGAACTCAGAACAAATGCTTCCTTCTTTTTTTGGAATCAAACAAAATATTTGATTACTTCTACTTAATGAGCAATGTACTTCATTCAGAAACATGTGTACCCAATCCTCCTCATTCTCAAGGTGCATACAATCCCACTCAGGAAACAAATCACACACACAAAACACACAAAAAGAAGCCTGAATTGCTAAGTATCCCAAGTCCAGTACAGAATGAAAATGCTGTAACAACACAGAGAGGGGGTGCTGCCATGTTGGGAGGAAGGCTCAGGAATGGGGTGGCAGAGAGACCAGTGAACGTACAGGAGAGGGGACAGCTGGTGAACTAAAGAGAAAGAAAATATGCAGCAACTGAGTTTGGCCCCGATGGAGGACATGAGCAAGACCAGAGAGCAGAGAGTTTCAGAGCAACGACCTGGATTAGGAATTGGATGGGCAAAAGCAATGAGCACAGGAGGCATTTGAAGCAAAAATGGACCAGTATTAAGAAATGAATCGAAAAAATAAAAGAGAAGGATCTGCTTCGCATCTCTTTCAGATTTGTCATTTCCATTTAAGGCCTGGTGCATGCCTTTCCACCTTCCTGGGATTTCTCATAAGGAAGGGAAATCACACTCTTCTATTTCCTTAGATAGCAACTACTGTCACCTTTTTCCATAACCATGCTACACAGGGCATAGCTGATGAATCTGGGCTCAGCTGAGTCCATATCGCAGCTCTGCCATTTACTAGCTGTGCAACTTCAGGCAAGCAAAGTAACCTTCCAGACCTCAGTTTCCTTATCTACAGAAGTGGGAATAATCATAATACCCATCTCACAAATAATTGAGAGGATCTCTGGCCATACCTGGCTTGGTGAATGGCCTCCATCCACTCTTTACCATCCTGCTCCTCCTCACAGCGCAGCTCTAGTGGTTTCTGACCTTCATGTCCAAAAAGAACAGTAAAGTAATACTGGAAAGAAAAACAAACACAAAAGGCTTAGTTATACTTCTTAAACATAACAGCATCAGAAGACAGTATTTGCCTACCAAGGATATATATTTGTAAAATGCATCAGCATTATGTAAATTGTATTTCAAAATGTAATGTCACTCCTGGTCCAGTTGGCAATGACTTTGCACCTAGATGCCACCACAGACTGCATCTTAACACCTCTCTGTAAGAGTCAACCCACAATCCTACTATAATTTATCTTTTTATACAAGTACAAAAAAGAACATTGCACATATCAGGCTATGCAAATAAAATGAACATGATATTTTCCAAAGTTCTCCTTTTTGGGGGTGTGATAAAGCTACAGAGACATCTGAATCTACACTGCACTGGCTAATTCTATTACACATCCTAGTCTCAATGCTCCATCCTGAAATGCAATATGCTTATAATTATGCAGTCCAGTTACTGTCACCTCTCCTACATCCTTAGCAGATGTCACCAATTGTTATGGTTCCTGTTTTCTCAGAGGTGGCTTTGCAATTTTGTTCAACACAGTATTCCAAAGAGCCGCATACAATGGACGATATTTGACATGGGAAAGGAAATCTAATTGTCAACCATAGAGGTAAGACATGATCAGAATTTTCTTTTTGTTAAAGGATAATCTAACTTATTGTTGTATAGGAGGAATTGAGCTTAACTAGAGAAAATAATGATATGTTTGAGGAGTAAAATGATTCCTCTTTATTCAAAATCACCAAAAACTGGAAACAACCAAAATATCCCTTACTAAGAGAGCAAATAAACTAATAGTGGTATATCCATACAGTGGAATATCACTCCGTACTAAAAAGGAACAACCTCCTGATACACCTAACAACTTGCATATCTCTTGAAAGCACCATGTTGATTTAAAAAGTCAGTCGTGAAGCCAGATGGTAGTGTAAATGTAACACAACTGAACCCATATGAAAAGGTCTTGGGTTCACATCCCAGGGCCACCTTATACACATTGGGCACGTGTGCCTAAGATCTAAGCCATTGAGGCTAGAGGCCAATCACAGTGCAAAGACCGTGTCTATCTCTCTGTCTCCATGTTTCTCTCATGGAAGAAAGAAATAAATAAAATTAAAAAAAAAAAAGACATCAGTCCCAAAAGGTTACATACTCTATAACGCCTTTCACATGATATTCTTGAAATAGTAACAGAGAATAGATCAGTGGTTCCCAGGGTCAAGGGTGGAAGTGTGTGACTACAGACAGACACCATGAAGGAGTTCTGTGGGTGATAAAACCATCTGCATCCTGGTTTTGAAGGTTACACAAATCCAAATATGTATTCAAGCTCACACAACTCAGCACAAAAAAGGGTCAAATTTACACAGTTAATACAAAAATTCAACAATTATAAATGGTTTCCCAAAGCTCTTATGAGGGTTCCACAACAGAAATAATTATAACTATAAATAATTATATAACCAAGATTCACAGACTCTCAAACTCACACTAAACCACTCCATGTTCCAGTAAAGATAGACATGAAATAGGGAACTTTTCAACAGTAAGCAGAGTATTGTAGATCATAAGTAAAAAACAGAAATTTTGGGGACCAACAGTTGGCTTAATGGCTATGTCGCTGGACTCCCACGTAGTCAACCGCGGTTCGAGTCCCAGACCCGGTGGCTTAAACTCAATGCCGGGTGCAAGTGCCTGCATGCCCAAGATCCCGAGAGGAGAATGGAGGCATGGCCATCCCCCCTGGGGGGTGATTTCTCGCTTTCTATCTCTCTTTCTCTCTGGCGAGCGCACGCGCCCTATAGCAAAAACCTCTCAAAAAAAAAAAAACAGAAAATTTTAAAAGAAATTTATTCATTTATTCCTTCTATGAGAGAGAGAGGAAGACAAAGACAGTGATATGCATCCCAGCAGGGTCTTCATGCATGACCCACCCCTTGGCTCAGCCTGCCCTTTATTACAGGCATGCATCTTCCAGCTGTCACACTCAGAAGATGTCCTGAGCCTGGAACTCGGGACCTTTCTCATGTGGGTCCAATTGTATCACCTGGCCCCTAAAACTGAAATTTTAAAAAAATAATCTTGAAGGGCTAGCCAGTGGCATCATGGTTGAATCCCACATGGCCAACTAAGCAGACTGAGTATGGGACCAAGTGGTTAGAAAAACACACTGGATGTTTGTGCACATGTGCCCAAAATCCTGAGAGGAGAATCGAGAAGGGACTGTGGCACAACCATCCCCTCTAGGGGGAGATTTCTTACTGTTCCTCTCTGTCTTTCTGGAGAACACACATGCCCTACTACAAAAGCTTAAAAAAAATTTTTTTTTAATTTAAAAATTTAAAAAAATATATGAAACTTGGAGTAATCTATGTTAATATATGGAAATTTTTCATGCAAAATACACAGAAATATGTATGCATATTTAGTTCCGAGTAGGCTTTGAATTAAACAGTGATAAATGCCTGAGTTGAAGATACATTGGCCTTTGGCAACTTCATGAACAATACACCCAGTAGATTAAGATGATTCAGTACAATCTCAGAAACTTTACACTGTAAATGAACAGATGGATATCTGAAGATTTGCTCTAGCCTACAGAGTTTTAAAGTGCTTTAAAACAAGCTTCTAGAGCCAGAAAAACTAAAATAGTACTTCCAGAGTAAGTTCTACTCAGTACTTCCACTATGGGAAAATCCCCAACTAAGTCAAACATACATAACCACACTTAATTGAGGATGAGAAAGAATCCTCAGGTACTAGGGGCTGGCAAGTGGCATGGTGGTTAAAAGTGCTGGACTCCCACATGGCCAACCACGGTTCAAGTCCTGGACCTGGTGGCTTGCTTTCTCACTTTCTCTCTCTCTCTCTCTCCCTCTCTCTCTCTCTCTCTCTGATCAAACTGGAAAATAATAATGATAATAATAATGAATAAAGTAAAAATAAAATAATTCTTTAGAAAAAAAAAAAGAAAGAATCCTCAAGTACTAGAAACAAAAGTGAAAGGTAAAACCAGAGCAGAAACCCTAGGAGATAAAGTATTCTAACATCCTAAAGGGCATTGGAACATATGGTCTTGGGACTATTCAAAGTAGTTTCAAGTTGAAACTAAAGGGACCAGCAGGTGGTGTAGTGGTTAAGGCGCTGGACACTCCCACATGGCCAAACACGGTTTGAGTCCCAGATGGTGGCTTGCTTCTCACTTTCCCTCTGTGTGAGTGTGTGTGTGTGTGTGTCCCTCTGGTCAAATTAAAATGAATGAATGAATAAATATTTTTTTTAAAAAAGTAAAGAGTATTATAAGGAGTGTATAAAAATTTAAATGTAATAAAATGTATTTTTAAAAAAATTGAAACTAAGACCCAGGCATAATAGGAGGGTACACGAAAGACTGCCACCTCTATGTAATAGAGACTAGAAAAACTACAAGTTCCCTAGACTCATTTCCAAATGAATTAGAAGTTTTAATACAAAAAACTTAAGCAGTACAATTTTTCTTAAACGAGTGAATGCTACTATACCTTCGAGCAGGAAAAACTATGACTTGAAATTCAGCAATGTTAAAAGACTGACCATTCGATTGCATGAAAATAAAATACTTCTGCCTAACAAACCATTATAAACAATGCATAAGGACATATGACAAACTGGTAAAATATATGCACTCTGCATAAAAGGGAAGTAATCCTTAATATATAAAGAAAATCACAAGAGGGACCAGCAGATGGTGAAATGGTTACGTCACTGGACTCCCACACAGTCAACTGCGGTTCGAGTCCCAGACCTGACAGCTTAAAATTCATGCCAGGTGGGTGTGCATGGGTGCCCAAATCCCAAGAGGAGAATGGAGGAGTAGGGATGGTGGCATGGCCATCCCCCGGGGGGGAGGGGGTGATTTCTCACTTTCTGTCTGTCTCTCTGGCAAGTATATGCACCCTAGAACAAAAAAAATCCCTCTCAAAAAAAAAAAAAAAAAAAAGATAATCACAAGATTTTTTTGCCTTAGTCTATTCATAAGTAAGTTTTATTAATAGCACTCCTATGAAAGTATTTTCAACTTTCATAGTTGAATTACTTTTATAATAACTCAATTTTATGTTTCTTACAACTTTTCTACAAACTTAGTTATTTCAAAAATATAATAAAAAATTGAGTTACTGCAAAAGTAGTTTAAAGAATACATTTAAAATATAAAAAGATAACATAAAAATTAAATGATTGAAAATAAATAGCAAGTAAACACTAATCAAGAGGCAAAATTAGACAACAATGTCAAATATATAGTTTATGATAAAGATTTGACTTATTAGAAAGTATAACATTCCAAGATCTATACATACTAATATTATAGTATTAAAATACATAAAGTGGGGCCAGCAGATAGCATAATGGTTATGTCTCTGGACTTCCATGTACACAACCACGGTTCAAGTCCTGGGCCCAGTGGCTTGAAATTCACGCCGGACACGTGTGCATGCATGCCAAAGATCCCAGGAGGAGAATGGAGGAGAAGGGATTGTGGCATGGTTATCCCCCCAGGGGATGATTTATCACTTTCTCTCTGTCTCTCTCTGTCTCTCCAGTAAGCACACACACTCTATAGCAAAAATCTCTCTCTAAAAAAACAACACATCAGACTTTTCTATTGACCTAATAGTACCTTATACACAACCCACTAATTAAAAATACTTCTCAAGTACTTGAACAACATTTATAAAAATTAAATAAGACCATAAAGCAACATGTAGAGATGCTATGTCATGTAGATCACGCTTTCTAACCATGACAGAATCAAATTAGCCATGAAGTACAGAAACATAACTCTAAAAGCTCTTCTAAACACACACACACACACACACACACACACACACACACCACCAAACTCTAAATAACATCCTAGTTGCAAAATAAATTATAGCGAAAACATCAAAAATATTCTTTATGATGAAGATACTATATATCAAACATCAAATGTCAGAGCAGTTCCAAGAAAGAAATAC